CATAATGGGGGGGGGGGGTGTGACCTGTCACTTTTTTATGCATACTAATGAGACGAAAGCGGGATGAATCTTACTACTCCTTACATTTTTACAATAATGGAATTCACTTTTGTACAAGACAATATATCTCTTTAATTAAAAAGGGACTGATCTCTAAGACGTACTAGCCCCGCCCCCAAGGTGACGTCACACTGGTGGGCTGATCCAGGAAGTGAACAAAAACTGTTTTTACATGCTGAGGTGAAGCTTGCAGTTTACAGACAGATCCCCTTGTCATTAAAAATGGACTTCAGCCTCACCTGAATGCACCTGACTGCAACACCATGACGAAGAAGAACAAGAACAAAAAAGAAGTAGAAGAATGAGAGGCGCCATGAAGTATATATTCTTCCTTTCAGGGACTGTATGTTTTATTATTTGTACCTTTTTATATTCTCAACAACACAGCAACAGGTAAGAGTTTATTAAGGTAAAGCATTCACATCCTGTAGCAGCAATACCTGCTAGAAATTATTATAACCATTATTTATAGCACTTTACAATAAAAAGCTACCAGTGCATTATGGCATACAATTGCACTGTACAACTATTTTAAAAGTATAACAACATTTAGCAAAGGAAAATAAATAATAAGTAGAAAAAGTAAAATAAAACAATTTCATATTATTACAATAATGTTAGTCAAAAGCCTTTTACAAGAAGATGATTACTTAATAATACAAAAAAAACCTTGCTTGAAATATTGAAAATGATTGGCACAAAACATTTCTTATTTTATTTGTTACAATCTGCAAAAACAAAAAAGAAGAAAATTCAAATGTATTTCTCGAAAACAACTGTTTCTTTGTGACATAAAATAACAATTTTTATATTATTATTATTATAATCGTGTGTGTGTGTCTGAAGCATCGAGTCTCTAGATGACAATCAGGTGGACTGGAGTCTTGTGTCAGCGAGTGATCAAGAACAAGAAGTAGAAGAACAACAAGTAAGTTATTGTTATCTTCTCTGCTGCAGGAGAGATTAATAACTAATTACATTTACTCAAGTACTCAAACAGTATTCATATCTTGTGCCCAAATACCAAATATATTATCAATACAATCAACTACAAGAAGCACAAGTATTTTTTATATTGCAGAGAAAAATATATTAGGCTTTACGCACAACCAGGCCCGGTTCCAGAACAAAATGACATCTGAGATTAGAGAGGTTGCAGTGGTAAAGTGCTATTTTTATAAGTTGTGAGTGGACCTAACACCCTATAGGGGGGTCCTCACCTCCTCTAGGGGGTCCTCATCTCCTCTAGGAAGGTCCTCACCTCCTCTAGGGGGGTCCTCACCTCCTCTAGGGGGGACCTCACCTCCTCTAGGGGGGTCCGGGGGCATGCTCCCCCGGGAAGATTTTGTTTTAAATATTGAAGTTAAAAGCATCAATCTGAAAGCAACATTAAGAGATCTATGGATCTATGTGCTCTTTGCTTGATTCATGCCTTCCCAGTCCCTTATCACGTACAAGAGCATGGCGTCAGTTGTTGTAGCCAATTGTGGTGAAGGCATGATAAGGGACTGGGAAGGCATGAATCAAGCAAAGAGCACATAGATCCATANATCCAAGTTGGAGCAAATGACCAGGCGCTTTCTTTTTTACATTGCCTCGTTTAATTCTTGTTTTCTTCACCTTTGATCCTCTTCAGTTTGGTCTCAGTTATAGCCTCAACGAAACCGACACATATACCCGATATCTACAACAAATCGAAACGAGGACTTATACATTGCAATGACGTGCGGACGAAAGCGCCCCCTCACGAGACATCACTGCAGACTTCCTTCCCCCGCCTAAGAAAAACCGACACATGAAAGTTTTAAATCACGTGAGCTCGGCCAAAGACTTTCGAATGGATGGGGTTGGAAATTCAGAATGCTAATTTCCAACTGCAGCAAAAAAAATTTGTGGAGTGAATAAAGATGAGAAGAAAAAAATTTAATAATATCTCACTATTCTTTTGTCGTATATTTGTTTCCTATGTACCAGGCATGTCAAAGTGGTCATACAATCGTAATAACGTCACTCAAGAGTTTAACCCCCCGCGGCGGGGGGGTCCCCGCCGTGTCTCCGTATTGTCCCCCCGCCCTTGTCTCTTTTTACCAATATTTTTTTTTTACTTTCTTTTTTAGTATAAAACTTTCTAATAACTAAGCTTTATATACTATGTCATGATAATTCAGACCCAGAGACACAAAGTAACTTCGAACCGAGACACACACACTACCTTGCTCGAAAACACACGTACGCACGCGCTTCGCTCTCTGCTCTCCTCGCGTGCCATGGCCTCTAGCCAACAACAATCGATGACCACGACGCCTCGAGCGATTGTCTATATTCCCCCAAAATGTTGTTGTTCACCTCCTCTCGGAGAGGGACAGTCTACTCTCCGAGTCACTTGCTTTCCTGAGAGACACAATAGAGTCACCCCAGAGTTTGCAAAACCAGTGGTAATTACATTTGTTAATAAAGCTTCGTGTGAAATATATACTAGATATAGAATATTTTTTATTCTCCTTATTTTACTTTTTGTCCATACTTTATAATACTGTACATTTTTTTTTCTTATTCAAATTTTCCACTAAACATTTTATAGGTATTTTCTTTTCATTTAGACAAATGTCAGAGACGAAAGGTTTACCCACAACTCTCTACATAGGTATCTTAGAGAAGTAAAAACGAGAGTTACACGTGGTCTAACTACGAAAATTGAATTTATAATTTTATTTTGAAGGGTCCCCCCAGGTGTGTGAGTGGATTTTTAATCGTGAAATGGGGACGAATGTGGATATACGGCACTCGACTAATTAGGTCGGAAGTAACATTGTCAGCGCCCATGTGACACATATACACACCCCAACAAGCATCTTTAAGGTGACACCGGATCCATGTAATACCCCCTTTGGGTATTTACAAACTCGTGTTGGAGATACTTTGCAGTTTCGTGGGGTGTCGTGGGGTTGTATTTAGAGACCGCGGCGGACTCGGACTGATAAACTACATAACTCCTCCCGTGGCTTGAAAAATGTGAAAGTGGCCGCCTGTTGCTGGCGAGTCATTGAAGTACTTCTGCAATGCACGCCCAATGACGGCACGCCCAATGAGGGCACGAGATACATTTGTGCGTGCACGAGATGGAAGGCTGACAGACAGGGCGGCAATCCACGCTAAATGGATTGGTTGTAGTTTTTACAGTATTACGGGTTCCACAGATGAAATTTTTTTATGGATTTTTTGTCAAAGCACTTCAGATATTCATTGCTATCGGGATGTTAAGAGCATTCCATGGAATATAACAAAAAGTGTATCTCGAGCCGGTTTCTCAAACTTACCTACCCCACCTTTAAGAACGCTTTTGAAAATATTATTTAATATGTTAAAATGTTTTGCCTTCTTTTGGTTTATGAATGCCATGGAACTGTCTTGTTTTATTTAACTAACTATTCAAATACCCAAAATATTAACTGTGCTACCATATATGAAGAGAAGCATTAGAGAGCTATAGGATCAGTTAATATTTTGGCATTTATGCTGCAAACAAATGCATTAGAAAATTAATTTTAGCTCTTTTCTTTTTATTATTGAAACAACTGAAATGTTTTGAATTTCTTTGTATATTTTCAATATCATTATAGAGGTATTAACCTATATATTGACCTCTCCGAGAACCGGCATTTAAACCATATGAGAAAGGTTCAAAACGGCATAAAGGAGCTGGTGTATAGCTGTTCTTAATTTTATTTTTATAATGTTGTTTAAAAGATGTCCACTACTTTGCTGCTATTTGCATAAAAAAGGTATTAATTGTGGAATAAAAAGTTAAATTACCTATTTGGTCACGTATGTTAATTCCCTAATGTGATAATGAAGCTTCCTATAGTTTAATGTAATACGTTTAATCTCTTGGATCCCTTCTAGACACCACTCTTCTTCATTCACAGATGAACCCCCTTATTTGAGGGTAAGCAACCTGCATTATCATGACATGTTAGATCATGACTTAAGGTATGATGAGTCAACCAGTTAAGATCCAGACGTCCGTGACTAAAATCCTTCATCTGGTTAAATATAGTTTAAAAAACCGCAATATACATCGCAGGGGAAAAGAATATTGCAATGTCAGTTTTTTTCAATATCTTGCAGCCCTAGTATGTACCTTATTCAAAGTATGGTTTGAATGAAGAGTATTTTATATTGATGCAGGAAATTGTCAATTATTATGAAATTATGACTTAATGGGAGCGGTTGGAAAGTACATCCCAACATATGGTAAAATATAATCATGATACTTAAGTCACAGTATATTATCTTGATTCATGGTTCACAAAACTATATTACTACCATTACTTCAGTCATAACCCGATATTATCCTAATACAAGTCACGTTAGAATACTATTGCCATTGTTAGGTAAAAAAACATTCATTTTGTAATATCAAATATCCTGCCATATGCTGCTAATTGTGATAACATAATATTGTTAGGGGATACTAATTGCCAATATTGGGAATACTATGCTGTATTGATTTCTTATTTCACCCCTGCTGTATGGTATTTGCCAATTTCTGACGTAATTTGAACTTTTATTTGATGATGAGGTCACCAAATGTGCAATTATGAAGGAGTGGGTACAGATTTCAAAGATGTCGTCTGAGGACGTCTCGGAGGATTCTGCATTAGACTCAAAGCAAAACATGTCTCATTGATGAGTCAGAAGGGAAGGTGCTACAAAAAAAAACGTTATTTATCATCATGGGCTCATTTGAGGGAGAAGCAGCACAAGCACTCAGCGGCTGATGGTGGCAGGTAAAAACTGAAATTGTGAGTTTTATGTTTTTAAAGGTCAGACGGGATGTTTGGAATCGGCTATCTCACTGTCGTCTGATGTGAAACGCATTACTTTTGTACCCTGCCTTTACTGATCCAATTTTCATTTTTAAACTCAACAAAAGCCTGAAAAGACCTACGACAATAAACAATGAGGTAAAAGCTGTGATGGTCAAATGTTTCAAATGTTGAGAAGCCATTAACTTAATTCTAATTGTAGAAAAAAGGCAGTGCCAACAGAGGTAGAGTACAACCGAATTGGCAGCTGATTTCTGAGCAAACGTCAACACCCTTCCCGTTTTAGGACACGCCCTGTCATTAAAATGTCAATGAAAACCAAGTGAAATCCTCATCCCTAAAGAGCCCCCGTGTAGATCTACAAAGCCTGACACGCAGCGAGAACAGCTGACGACGGTGGTGTTTAGCAGGGCATTGATTCCTCTAAAGCGTTTATTCTGTGTTAATAGCAGCGTCTCAGGGACACTCTGGCTCTACCATCCATCTCTGCTCCCTCCATCCATCTCCCCCATCCTCCCCTCCGCTCTCCCTCCCTGCACACACTGACTCAAAGTGTATTTCTCCTCCTAAAGACCTTTCTCTACATCCTGCTCTTTGTAACACTTAACGACAAGCGCTCCACAGCTTTTCCCTCACATTTACCTTAAATAAATAAATGTGTTTTTCTAAGACACCCCTAATTTGTGCTTGATTCTCAAGAGCTGCACGGCTAAGTAAACGATTCATATTCAATGCTGCTTTCTGTTAAATGCCAAAAATGAATGAACTAATCATTTTCCAAGCCAGAAATCCCCCCTTCACTACCGGTTTAATCCATTGTTTTATTCTGAAGGTTAACACAGAGGGGTTTGTTTATATATCATTCATAGCCTGATAAATATAACATGTATTCCTTAAATCGTTGCTAAAAGCATGTTTTTGAATTTATTGAGTGATACGAAAACATTTCAAATTTCCGTAACAACGTTTAAATCTCATATGTCAACAGAATGAATCAAGCATTTTTAACCTGGCTTCATCCCTACGTTCATATTTCTGTTTCATAAAAGTATGCGCATAAGCACATATTTTAACAGAGATTGCATCCTTTGCATATTTATACAAAAACAAAATATTTTATATAATTTGTATTACAAAAAATCATTTTCTTAATGAAAGTAAATCAAGTAGAAAGTTTCATTGTGGAATCTATGAGTGAAAGTGTTTGCTTTTAGTGTCTCCTCTTGGCTCTGGGTTGATTCAAAGTCTGATTAATATTTACAGACTGCTCCTGTAGATTACAACATCACGAGTGATTGGCCTCTTTTTTCCTGGGGGGGTTTCCTATGTACTCATTTATTCGCATCTCATACCTAGACTACAGCAACTCCCTCCCGGATAAAGGGAGTCCAGACCGCTGCTTCCTGTCTGGCGTTCAACCACCATTCAAATACTTCAACTCCATTCAGATTCTCAGTTAACAATACCGATCTTGCATCCAGTTCAAGATACTCGTTCTGACCTACAGGGCAGTGAAAAAGAAAGCTCTGAACTGGCCTTTGAGCCGAATGGAAACAAATGTAAAGCAACAGAAAGACTCTTGTTATCGCCCTTAACCCACGTATCTGGCCTCCGAACTGGATTTGATCCCAGGACCCTGCACTGTAGCTGCTTCTACAGACCAGGTGCTGTACTCCATTTCCCTGCAGGGATCAATACGAGTTTAAATTCCATCCCACACCCCTGCTTCTGTCTGTGTGCGTCTTTTCCTTTAAATTTCCCCTCTTCGGCTCTATTTATAGCCTCCGTGTCCATCCATCCGTTTAATCAATACGCATATTGCAGCTGCCTCAAGTCAAGATTATAGTATGAATATTCTTCACACATTTGTCATGATGTTGAGATTTCTGCTAGAAACTCAACGTGGCAGCAGCTGTGGTCGCGGTTTGAAGAAGGTACAGGTTGTAATTTATCGTTAAGCGGAGTCCATAAAGCATTTTGCTTATCAGAATGAGACAGGGGATATTTATCAAGGATGCACACGAGTTTTCGCACAAACACGCACGCAATCACACACACACATCTGCTGAAAAGGCATTCTATTAAAACAAGGAAAGGTGCAGAGCTAGTCAGATCCCCGGCTATGAAGTCAGAGAGCAAATAAATTATGGAAATAGACTGATACACTCGAATCGTGTCTCCCTCTAAAACACAACCACACACACACTTTCACAACATGTTTGATTTACTCCAGCGGGGCTTTCAGTGTGCTTTTTATGTAGGCGAGTTCTGTTGTAAATCAGAGGCAGTGTCGATACCAAAACTCATATTTTTTTCATTTTCAGACTTTTGAGTATAGTAAGGGAAAGGACGTGCGCACAAACTGAACTGAATAGAAATACAGCAATATTAGTTCCTTTATCAAATGCTTTTAGGGATGCTTCAAGTGCGCATAGACTTAACATTTAAAATGATGAGAAGAGAAATGCTCAGGCGGAGGTTATGTGAGGGTGTTTGCATTTCTGTGTGTGTGTGCATGTACTGTACCCGCTGTCTGTGAACAGAAACTCGAGGTGAGTCATGTAGACCTCCCACAGTGGAACACTGTAGCGCTTAGCCAGAGACAGAGAGATTCTGTACACGTCATCCTCCAGCGTCCTAAACAAACACAAATAAAAAGAGGGGGAAATAATGATCAGATTCCATCGCGTCAAAACAGGAGGAACCATGTTTAACTCAAAGCTTAGTCTTTTAGATGAAGAAACTAGAACCAGTTCTATTTTCTTTATAAATGTGCTTTCTGCCAATTCAACGTATTTGTTTTCTTGCATTAATATTGAATTTGTTGAATAAAACAAATACGTACAAGGGAATTAACATTGGTGTGTCATGATGCATATGTTAACACAGGAGAATGAATTAAGTTAAATGTAGAAAAATGCTAAAGAAATCTATTGAAAGAAAAAACTGATTTAGAATAAAAAGTGAATCAATTTTGACAAGACGTATAATTATATAAAGGTAATACAATATGCCAATTACTAATACATTGCACACATTACTAAAGAAATGTGTGCAATGTATCAGACATTTACATTTTAAAGGTCTTCTATCATGCTAAATGCACTTTCTGATGTAAACATACATACAGTTGCAAGAAAAAGTATGTGAACCCTTGTGAACCCTATGTGATTTCTGCATAAATTGGTCATAACATGTGTTCTGATCTTCATCTAAGTCATAACAATAGACAAACACAGTCTGCTTAAGCTAAAACCACACAAACAATTATATGTTTTTATGTTTTTATTGAACACACCATGTAAACATTCACAGTGCAGGGTGGAAAAAGTATGTGAACCCTTGGATTTAATAACTGGTTGACCCTCCTTTGGCAGCAATAACCTCAACCAAACATTTCCTATAGTTGCATATCAGACCTGCACAACGGTCAGGAGGAATTTTGGACCATTCCTCTTTACAAAACTGTTTCAGTTCAGCAATATTCTTGGGATGTCTGGTGTGAATCGCTCTCTTGAGGTCACGCCACAGCATCTCAATTGGGTTGAGGTCAGGACTCTGACTGGGCCACTCCAGAAGGCGTATTTTCTTCTGTTGAAGCCATTCTGTTGTTGATTTACTTCTGTGCTTTGGGTCGTTGTCCTGTTGCATCACCCATCTTCTGTTGAGCTTCAATTGGTGGACAGATGGCCTTAAGTTCTCCAGCAAAATGTCTTGATAAACTTGAGAATTCATTTTTCCGTCGATGATGGCAATCTGTCCAGGCCCTGAGGCAGCAAAGCAGCCCCAAACCATGATGCTCCCTCCACCATACTTCACAGTTGGGATGAGGTTTTGATGTTGGTGTGCTGTGCCTTTTTTTCTCCACACATAGCGTTGTGTGTTCCTTCCAAACAACTCAACTTTGGTTTCATCTGTCCACAGAATATTTTGCCAGTAGTGCTGTGGAACATCCAGGTGCTCTTTTGCAAACTTCAAACGTGCAGCAATGTTTTTTCTGGACATCAGTGGCTTCCTCCATTTTATGACCAACTTATGCAGAAATCCAGGTAATTCCAAAGGGTTCACATACTTTTTCTTGCAACTGTATGTGTTCCCCGGTGTGTCAGGGAACAAAACCCTCTCTTTTCCTCCGTACCCAAATCTCTAAAGACGGGGGTACAACGGAGTTGATCCAGATTTGCGGCCGATATGACGTAATATTTTTAAAGCTAAGGGCCCAAAATTAGCGTTTCTCTAACAGGGCTGAAATAGAGGGATATGAGGCATGACTAGAATGGGTGATGTGATAGGTATTTTGACTTCATAGACATTTTTTTTATAATTTTGTATACATCTGAGACCCATAATATATGCCTATATATATATATATATATATATATAATAAGAGGTAAAATTGTGTAGAAAACACTGTATTGACAGTATAAGACCCCGCCCCCATTTACTCTGTGAGGCCGAGGATGGTCTCCTTCTTGTAGTCGCAGTCAGAGCTGAAGCGCTGCACGTCGACCCCCCGGCCCAGCCCCTGTAGCACCTGGGCCTGGGTGAAGTCCGTCAGGCGCTCGTTGTACACGTGCAGCTGGCTGATCAACTTCTGCAGCTCCTCGGGCCAATCAGAATACGCGGACACATGCTGTGTGACCAATCGAATGAGCTCCTTTGGGTCAGCCTGTGAAAAGAGGAAGAAAACTCATGTTGACACACAGGCTGCAGCTGAATGGGTTATTTCATGCTGGTAGCCTCACAGAGTAAAAGGATATGAAGTGAGCAGTTGTTTATTACTACACTAAAGACTGCTCTGAATAAAAGAAAATAGAAATTGCAGAGGCAGAGATCTGACCTCTTTGCTGTAGGAGAGTGAACATATTCGCTACAGGTTTTACATTTAAATAAATCATAATAATTGTTCTTTTACTTATTTAAGTCAATTTCACAACATCTTTAGGATGTGAGCTTAGATTCATGTTGCTAAAGAGAGAACTATTTTCTCCTAGACAAAATACCTAAGTTAAATAAAAAAAATGTAACTTTATTCTTAACAAATACTTTGGGGCTAGGTGTCGATTTCGGCTTCTTTTTGGTTTGTGTTTTTTTTGTAATATTTACCAATATATCCTGAATAAACTTTTAGCACAAAAGCATTTTTATTATCAGAATGTATATGGAGGAATAATAAAACAATAATCTGAATTGAAATGTGTGTTTCCATCCACTGCTGCAATGCAAATATGAGGAGTTTGGGCATAAAAAAAAGAGGACGTAGTGCATAATTTAAAGGTGGGGTAGGTAAGTTTGAGAAACCGGCTCGAGATACACTTTTTGTTATATTCCATGGAATGCTCTTAACATCCCGATAGCAATGAATATCTATAATATCTATATATTTATAATATATATATAAGTGCTTTGACAAAAAATCCATACAAAAAAGTCATCTGTGTACATGTGCACGTTCGTGTGTGTTGGAGGACGGGCTCTGTAAGGAAGTGGCACATTTTTTCCAGTTGTGTATTTTGAAATTCTAGCTCACTCGAGCAGTTTCTCCAAAAATGACCTACCCCATCTTTAAGTTTTGCAGAAGAAGAGAGCATGTTGAGATGACGATGATGTAATTGTAACCAGTCAAACCAAAAACAAAACAATACTTGGAAATGTGATTTTATTTCAATACATCCCCAGTGGAGCTTGAATGACAATAATCTAGCACTTTGTTATGATATGTTCTGAACTATACACTAATCATTCAACCTCAGCCAAGCATTGAAGTTATGTTTGTCCCGACTTAAGCTTAATTAGTACCGTATGATAGTCTCTTTATATAATTCAACTTGATATATTCTCCTTTGAGAAACAAAAAGCGCCCTTGAGCACTGGGAAAAGCGCTATATAAATATTATGCTTTCAAAAATATCTTAATTGACAGACTATTTACTTCTCAATATTTGTACCTTTATTTTCTTTTGGATTCAGTTCTTACACATAAAGCGATGTAGGACATGCACTAAAGTTGAAACGTAAGTAAACTGCACTGGAGGTTTTTATCATTAAACTTTGTCAAGCGCTGGGCTTCAAACCCCCTGCACTGTGTGACATATAAAAACTTCACAGGGCTTCTGCTGCTTTTCCGGAACAAACTAATGAGGCCATTTTCACAAATGGCTGCAATTTTCAAAAATTGACAGAAAAAGGTTGAGGAAACCAACTACCCTGGCCTTACTTTTATAACTTCTATAATTGTGCTTCCGGGAACACATTGACTGTATCACCCGAGTTAAATGGGCAAACTCAATATATGCTTTTTTCCCCCTGCCTTGAAAATACGGGTAAATGTACCAGGAAACATAATTGCTATGGTGATTCAAGGCTATGGGGAATTTGACGGTGGATACACATTTATGATTGAGAATGTCATGCGCAGGGAGCGGTATGTGAATGCGGCATCTCCCTCATCACCTCTGTTCTAATTAAATGAGCTCCTGAATTTGGTTTTGGCGTCTTATATGCTGTCACCCAGCAGGAAGAGGTGGTTTATTTGTTGATCTTATTTGCATACGGTAATTATTGCTCTTGGAAATGTGTGAGCTCGAAAACTGTGTGTGTGTCTCTTCCTGCTCTCAGCATGGGTGTGGGTGTGTGTCTTTAGATGTGGCCTTAGCAGCAGTTAGGGTGGCAGATTCTCAGTTCAAAAGCAGGACAGGAGGGAGGGTGAGGAGAAGAAGTAGAAAGAGGAGAATATTAAAAGTGTAAAAAGTCAGAGGGGGGTAAAGGATGTAAGTCAGGAAGAAAGTAATAGAAGGGAGGAGAGGAGAGTACAAGTAGTATGTTGGTGAATGCTGGCATCATTTTGGACAAACTTTTCTGACAGGGGAAGAATGACATGCAAAGGAGAACATAGGGAGAAAGAAGAAAGTCAGCTGGAACTGCGACGGACAGGCAGCTGTTTGAAGAACTTTATTGCAATAACTCTTTCATGACGAAATACCGTGTGCATTCTCTCTCTGTCATTCATCATCAATACGTTTTCCTTTTGGCTGTCTGGTTTATATCCTCCCTTACCTTTGAAAACATTAGTTTCTCTTGCATGTCTCAAATCCATTTTTATTGGTAAAGAATCTCTGAAATACTTTCCAATAAGTTTTTGTTGCAACCCCATTTAGTCTCCAAATTAAGCAAAGACAACACTTATTCCTTGGTTTCTCTTCATCTTATATAGTTAATGCTTATTTAATTTCAAAGTGTCTTAAAAAGCCACTTATAGTCTTTCTTCAAAAAGGGAAGGATGTATAAACTGTTTGTCAAAAATAATTTCATGAGGTAGCGTGTGATGTTACACAGCTGGGAGGAAGCCAGCTCCCTCCAAATCCCCCCTTAGCTATTCCACCGCTGCCACAGGCTCTTTTCTCTCTGCTCCCCCCTTCCCTGTGATGCAGCTAAAGAGGGAACAGTGTAAAAATAAAAAGTCTACGCCTCAGTCTTAAATCTTTTCCTCAATGCCTGTTCTCTCACTTTTCGCTCTTAATTTCCAGTGTTATATGTTAGTCACAACCGTGCATCCATAAACAATGTTTTCGCGAAGCTTTCTGGTTTAATATGTGAAATAAAACATAATTACAGTGTCGCTAAGAAAATCATATCATTGTCAATATCGATTTTTTTTTATCACAAATGGTTCCTTTTTACTTTTACCATCTACTTTTTCCACCTGTGGATATAAATCTTTGATAGACCGCTATTACTGTAAAGACTCTAAATATGCCATGCCACATGATCATAATAACTATGCTTACATGAGGATATAGCAAGTCAAATGCGATTTTTTTTTCCCCCCCTGCGATATATATTGCGATATGAAAACATACAGGAATTAAAGAAAATACCAGATTTTTTTCCCCAAACCATCCTTTCTTGAACTTTAATGCTATACAATTGGTATTTTTTTAACTATATTTAACCGGATGAAGGATTTTAGTCACGGACGTCTGGATCTTAAGTTGTCAGAGCAACAAGCTGAGCTAGCTCGGTTAGCAGCGCCGAACTGCCCTGGAGAAACACATGAAACGACTTTATTCAGTGTTTTTACCTTTAATCACCGGGTCCGTTTGCTTTGCTTTGGAGATTTGATTGTGATTGGTGGCTTGCTGTGCATGCAGAGCCTGCATG